TAGATTGATACTCATAACACGTTATTGAAATGTCTTTTGTAAGGAAAGTTTCTTCCATTTTAATATGAGATTAATCATTAGAAGGATTTTATTACTTCACCTCTTATTGTTGAAGTTGATGCAGTTAAGAAATTTAACGTGGCAAAGGAAGACGGTGGTTTTGATGAATTTCAGATTCAAATTGGTGAAGGATCATTATTTGAGCGGATTACAAGTGAATAAGTTTTTATTCAGAAGTGCTAATGAAAATACACTTTGAAGATTCTCATGGTAGTGAACAATATGATTTTGTGGTACGTAATTATTCATGTTATTCGCAGTCAAACTCAAAGACGAGTTTTTTTTAAGTAGAGGGAACTGATATAGGACAAAATTCTGCATAGTTCGACAAGTCTGTTTCGACAAACCAATAGTGTTTTTTTGGTGAAAACGATGAATTGAGAAAAACTCACTAGCTTTTGCTTATGGGCCATACTAGTCCATTTCGACAAACCATAATTTCTTTATTTATTTTTTATTTTTTTGTTTTCTTCTAGTGTTAGGTTTTCTTTTATTATAAATATGTGTACTGAAAAGTAAAGAATTAACTTTTATTCATTCAATTATCAATACAAATATCAGATTTCTCAGAAATTATCCTTCGTTTTGTGAATTCAAAACATCGTACTTTGTGGATTCAAAGTAAACCGTTCCTCATGAATAAATTTATCGCTTCTGCTTACATTAGGGGATCATGGACTGTCTGTATCAGATACGTTTGGATTTCAGTAAACAAACGTGGGCACTTTAGTAAAAGGGTTGTTCTCTCTAACAAAGTTTCCCCGCTCTCCATATGAAAACAAATTTGAAGTTGAATATTGATGTCTTCTATGCTTATTTGCATTTTTTGAAAATGTCCAAGACTTTTTATTCATGATTACTAGTACTACTTTGTTCTTGGCCTTATGAATTTTATAAGTTGTTAGACAAATTAACAACTTTATTATGGTTTAGTTTCTCAAATATTAAATATTTACAGCTACTTCAACTTTTTTTTGACTTGTATGTATCAGTGGTACTTGTTTAGTTTGATCCAGTGAGTTAAAAGTTGCAGTTCTATAATTACAATTTGTTAATTAGTTTCCTATGTTTTAATTTCTTAATTTAGATTGTTCATGTATGTTTAGTTCACAAAAACACAAGTATATATATCATCTTATAAATTTTTTCTATTATTGGTATATTATAACGTCCATACTCTTCAGAGAGAGGTCAGGAGTTGAAGATTTAGTGGAGTCATATGTGAGGCATATGTGTGTGAGTATACTAATATATATATATATATATAAATTTAAAAATTTGTAATAGAATTTTTTAAATAATTGCAGAGACTTTTTGAGATTGCCAAGAAGGGTTTGGTAATAAGCTACAGTGGACTCGCAATAGCATGTCTATTTTTGAGGGATACGAGGTGTCAAACCAAAGGATTGGCAAAAGCAACCAAACTTCCACCGACCCACCCTTGGCCAGCCGCCTTACATTTCGTCTTCCTCATCTCATTTTCTCCCTGCTCCCTTCCATGGGAGTGGAGAGGTGATGGTTCTTGCTTCCCACAAGCTAAATAAAAGCGGCGTGTAATACTAGGTACGCTCTGTGGGTGGTTTTCACGCCGTTTTTACTTTTGTTTTGCTAGATCTGCTCCTATTTGGCATGTTTTCGACTATACTGGGTGGATCTGTTATTTTATCTCCGGCTAGATCTCAAATCTATATCGGTTTTTGTTGTCCACGGCTAGATCTCAGGTCTATATTGGTTTTTGTGATCATCTACTTATACGGGGTTAGGGTGCTTTTCCACCTGTCAAAGGCGCCTTGTGGATGTAACTTTAAAGCTGTTGCTTTGATGATGGCCTGACCTGTGTATCACTCCCGTTACTGCTCGTCTCATTTGGTAGTTTTTATTATTTTTCTCAGCAAATCTAGAGCCTGGTCTTCATTTTTTTTTTTTTTTTTTTTTTTTTTTTTTTTTTTTTTTTTTGCTTCATGATTTGTATGCCTTTTATGGCTTGCCTTTGTTGCATCTCTACTGTCCTTTATGAATGTGTTGTGTAGATGCCATATGGCTGTTCTCTTATTGCCAGGGTAAAAAAAAAAAAAATTGTAGTTGGGCTTATAGAAAACCACTCTAGCTAGTGGCTATATATATATATATATAATTAATGTCTTCCACTTGTTTCAATCTCACAAGACTTTACCTTACACAGATTGGGGTGTTCTTATTCACAAAGATTATGAAAATAATTCACAATTTTTTTATTTGGCTTAAACTTTTTTAACCCAAAACTAAAATGATTTATTGAAATTTGAAGGTCTCTAAAGTAATTTTGTTTCAAAATTATCTTTAATAACCAAAAATAGAAAGTCATATATATATGCTTTAAAAATTTGGAAGAATCAGCTTTAATTTTGGGAAAACTACACTTAAGTAGATTTAGGAGCTTTAAATAACAAATCAATTTATTTTTAAAGTTAAATTTTCAACTTCGTCAAGTTGGGCAAAATAATTACATTCTTATTAAAAATTATTATTTAGGTCCAAAATACCCTCTAATTCTTATTTCAAAATACCAAAATATCCTTCCTAAATCAAATAATTCTTTCATTCATAAACTTTAGAAAAATAAGATTTCTCAATTGACTTTTAACTTGGTACTTTTGCATATAGTGTATATATTACCAAAATAAATAAATTAAAAAACAACACATATATATATATATATATATATATATATATTATAAATTTTGTGCAAAAAACTTTAATGATATCTCTTAATCCATAGGATCCATATGGTTCAAACCTGCAAATATTAATTTAGAAATATACAAATAATTTAATGAAAATTCATCATGTATAGATTTTTTTTTTTCACTAAGTGGAAATTCATCATATATATAATTTTATTTGCACATAACTTTAATCATATCTCTTAATTCATACCAATATAAACTTATAAACGTGAAAATTTTCCTATAAATATATATATATATATATATATAATATATATACACACACACACAGTACACATGCACAAAAGAGGGAGATCATGAAAAAACAAAATGGTGAAAGAGGGAGATCATGAAAAAAACTAAACAGTTACTTCAGTAAATGGTGCACCAGCAATCAAAATTTTTTTTTTTTTTTTTTGTTTTATAAAACAAGTGTAATTAAGTGAGCCAAAAATTTGATGATCATTTCAAGACATGCACCACATCAAAGATGATTTATATATTCTTGAGTTTAATTATATTTTTCCTTTTTGGGAACTAACCTTTGATTGTCTCATTTTTTACTATATTAAATCTTTTTTATTATTTGTATAAGTTACCGTGTGTGAATCTTTTTTATTATTTGTATAAGTTACCGTGTGTGTATATATGAAAGTTGTAGCAATATGGTTCAAAGTTAAAGGAAATAAATTATTTAAAGAAAATATTTAATTTTAGGGGAATAATTTTTAGTATTTTGGAATAAGTGTTTGAGGGTATTTTGGACATAAATAATAGTTATTAATGCATATGTAATTATTTTACTTAATTTAATTAAAATAGATCATTTTATTATTTAAGACTCCTAATTAAGTGTAATTTTCCTTTTAATTTTTCTATGTAAAATTACAATTAATAACCACTACTAGAGTTTTGTAAGCAATTTCGTGGGAGAAAATAATAAATCTGTACGTCTAACCATATCCTTATCAAATTTCAAGTTTGAGGTAGTACAACATATGACACTGATGTATAAGTTGGGACCCAATTGAGTCACTTATGAAAATAACTTGTCATTAAATTGCATCATAGATTGATATTGTTAAGACAGAATTATTGCCGACGCTAATGTCTTCGGCTAATCTTATAATCTTATCCATCCAAATTATAATGAGAATTATTCACCCATAAAAATATACATATATACATATAAAAATACATTATTGTTCACTCTGGATCGTTAATTTATCTGCTAAAGTATTCGATCTGTAGTCAAGATTCCAGCATCACAACTCCCGACGCAAATCACTTGTTGTGTAATTTCCATACTATTTCTTACCGTGAGCAGTAAGTGACCTTAGTTTGGTCACGTTTTACTCCACTTAATAGACACTAACACTGTGTTTGACAATTGCACCACTATTTATAAGTAACATTTCACCACCATTTTTAAGTAACGTCATAAAAGTCTAAAAGTAATATCGCATAGTCTAAAAAGTAATATCACCACTATTTATAAGTATCTTTCACCCTCAAAACGTGGTGATATTACTTTTTAGATTATGTGATATTACTTTTAAACTTCTGTGATATTACTTATAAATGGTAGTGATGTTACTTTTTAGACTATTTTTACATTTCACCACCATTTATAAATAACATCACCGAGTTTAAAAAGTAACATCACCATTTATAAAAAAAAAATATCACCACTTTTAATTTCAAATAATAACATAAATGATATGTTGAATTGATTTATATTTATATGTGATATTACTTTTTAGAATATATGATATTACTTATAAATGGTGGTGAAATATTATTTATAAATAGTGGTGTAAGTGTCAAACACAATCTTAGTATTCATTAACTGAGGAATGATGTAGCTAGATATAAACCACAAAAAAAAAAACTCCATTAGAGCCTTACTGCAGGTGATTCGCGCCCCCCACAATTCCTAACCTGATAACGTCCTGCCGTGTAAATCAAATATTGTAGGCGTGTCAATCAAATAGAGATACAATCTTATCTCTTTCGGTGTGTGTTTGGTTACAAGAATTGACTTAGACTTTCTGGTATAAATATATACTGTATCAATTTGTTGATTTGGACTTCTGCACCTTTATGTGTTTTTTATAAAGGTGAATCACATTACATCCTTCTTTTCTATATGCTTTTTGCACCAAATCTTTCTTTTCTATATAGATATATATATATATATATATATATATATTTTTTTTTTTTTGTGTCAAAAAATCCAAAAAAAAAAAACATATATATACATACAAAAATACACAATCGTTCATCATCTGGACGGTTAATTTATCTGCTAAAGTATCTGTCTGTAGCCAGATCCCAGCATCATAATTCCTAACTCATTATATATTGAATCTCAAAACGACCCAAACACACAAAAATCAACAACAATGGAGTCACTCTTCCTAACGCTTCCAACAAATGTAATGCTTGCTATATATCCACTTCTTTTTTTTTGTTTGCTTTGTGCTATGGATGACAAGAGTTGGTCACCTTAACACAGCTAGTAAGAAAAGAGTAGCACCCCAAGCTACTGGTGCATTGCCTTTGATCGGTCACCTCCATCTCCTAGGAGGCTCTCAATTGCGACACAAAACGTTGGGTTCTATGGCTGACAAGTGCTGTCCAATCTTCACCATAAAGCTCGTTGTAAACCGAGCATTGCTAGTGAGTGATTGGGAGATGGCTAAAGAATGTTTCACCACCAACGACAAGGTCTTCGCCAGCCGTTCAAGGGCTCTAGCAGTGGAGCTCTTGGCCTACAACTATGCCATGTTTGCTTTGAGTCCTTATGGCCATTACTGGAGCCAAGTTCAGAAGATAGTCATGATTGAGCTTCTCTCCAAGCCCCGGCTCGATATGCTTAGAAATGTCCGAGTATCGGAGATAAGGACATCCATAAGAGAGGTATGTAACTTATGGGTTCAGAAAAGAAGTGCTTCAAATGTGGTGAAGTTGGAGATGAAGCGATGGTTCGCGGACTTAGCCCTAAATGTGATGGTTAGGATGCTTGTAGGGAAGCGATATTCGACAACGAAGAGGGGGCACGAGTTGAGAAGGCCATCACAGAGTTCCATAAATTGTTGGGGGCGTTTTTGGTTTCCGATGCCATCCCTTTTCTGAGGTGTTTGGATTTGGGTGCAAAAGAAATGGACAATATAGTTGAAGGTTGGCCTAGAGGAGCATAAAAGGAGGAGAGATTCTGGAATACTGAAGAGCGATCAACAAGACTTCATGGATGTGTTGCTGTCCCTTCTTGACCATGCCGAGGCTGAAAAATTTCCCGACTTTGATGCTGATACAATCAATAAAGCTACATGTCTGGTAAATTCTCTAACCAAATTTTTTTTTTTCTTCATTTAAATGGTGTGTATATATGTGTTTGTATGCGTTGTTAGATTTAGTGATTTAGATGTAATTTGTTAATTCACTTGGTTTGAGTAAACTCGAGCTTGTCTTGAATTAATTTTGATTAAGTCGGATTATATGGTACTAAAATGAGGTTTTTAATATTGGAACATAAGCGGGGTAGAATCTCCTCTGGGAATATAGGAGTGTTTGGTTTTGTTTTATGAGACCAAATATGCCTTACGGATTTCATGAGGCTGATTTTTTTGGGGCCATCCAAATATGAATATACCTTCATTTAATAGAATATTATTTTGTGTAGATCTTCCAGAAAAATAAAGTCATAGGCAGTGTAGTCCAAAAATACGATTTAATTATACCATATATTATAGTATTATTTATTTTAAATATTATTTAAAATATAGTGTATATATATAAATAATAATTATTATAAAATAATAATCTATATATATATATATATATATATATATATATATAATTTCTTATAATATATATAGTTTAATATAATAAAATAAAACTATAAAATAAATGAATCTGATTAAAAGTCGAGGTTAGAATTTGAATCTATATCCTTAAGACAGATTTGTCCCGCTATGGTACTAACAAATTCAGTGGCGTCTATCTTTTAGGATACAACGACTTGTCTTCTTTCGGTTGTAGCACTGTAAACCAAAGGAATAGGCGAACTAACTTGGTGTAGTACTTTCTGACTCGACCTTGGACTCGAACTCACTGACTAAGGCTCGAACCCAAAGGCTAGGGTTCAAACCCTCAAATACTTATAGAAGAAGAGAGAGGAAGGAGAGAATTCAGAATTAGAGAAAATGATTCTAAATTGGAGTGATTTGGGAACCAAAGAGGGGTATTTATAGGTTGCATGGTGCCTTTTTCGAATGGGTGCAACCATTGGTTCACAATGGTTCAAGAAAAACTGCAGGTGGTTTACTTTACAGAAGGGTGCAACCATTGGTTCATAATGGTTCATAAAAAATTGTTTTATAGTTTTAATTTAAATTAAATACTAGAAACTGTTTTAATTCATTATGAAACCCAGCAAACAGGCCCAATTCGGCCATCTTAATAAGGCCAGCAAAATAAAATTAAAATCCAACACAAGCCCAATTTCGTTTAATAAAAACTTAAACAGATTTCATAATCAAGCCCCAGCCCCATACCCAGCCCCAGCGCAAGCCAGGACTGGACCGGACGGGGAGGGTGGTTGTTGGTTCGGACCCAAGCTTGCTTAGGTCCTCGCTCTCTTAAAAACATGGGTGCCCTTAGGCCAAAACCCAAATCCCATACTTGGTTTATTTAAACTCAAAATGGTTTCAATATTTTTCTAATGTGGGACAAGCATTTCCCACATTCTGCAAACCCATTTAGGCTTATCAAACATCTCACTTTGGAATGTGCTAATTTCTAATTCACCCGAAAACGGATTTGAGAAAGTAAATATACCACGTTCATCTCCTTGCAGAGAGGAACGTGCTCGTCTATAAATCCGTAAAAAATTCTTAGCGGAATCTATTCAAAATCTCATCCAAAGTTTATGTTTTTAATGCCCCCTTTTCCAACAATCCCCCACATGAATGAAAATTTGCGTAAATTGTAAATGAAAAAGGTACAGACATTAGATAGAGTACTATTAGAAAGTTATTACATCGGGATATGTAGCTTTTGGCCTTGAACCTTCCCTAGTGTATTACTATCGGATTTACTAGCTATCTAGTGAATATGAAGTCTTAAACTGTTCAGCCGTTGATGTAAACCAAGACAATAGCAAACACACAGTTCCTTCCCGCACAAAGTCGATTCTCATGGTTGTATTCATATAGCCCTGAACAACTCCTGGTATTTCATAAGTGCTCTAGAAAACTTAGCCTTAGAAATTCTAATAGAAGCGGTTCCGTTTCACACTCATATAGGTGACTTCTTATTAAGAGTATTATACTATACCCCACTTGAATTTTCAAGATATAAGAGTCATTAAAACCATAGCTTAACTTACTCATTACTGCAGGTAAGATTGTCTCATCATAGTAATAGGTAGAAGATTAAATCTTCCCAGTGCTTCTGGTGAGCCATTCAGAATTTCTGTTGTCCCTTTGAACCTAGATATTGGGATCTCCAATCAACTAGGCTGGGTTTCCATTAAGATGACTCGTTAGCTTTCGGCTTTAATCACATTCCCCTCGATGAACTATACACTTGCTCTCTTATCAAACTTTTTGTAAACGGATCCGCTCAATTATCTTTTAACCTGATATAATCTATTGAGATTATCCCACTTGAGAGCAATCATCTAACGGTATTATGTCGTCAAAGTATATGTCGAGACTTACCATTATACATATTATTTTGTGCCCTTCCAATTACTGATTGACTATTGCAATATATACATATAGCGGGCACATGTTTAATTAGGCCCATTTGGAATATCTTTTAAGAAATTATGAAGCCACTCTGCTTCTTCACCAGCTTTATCCAAAGTAATAAATTCAGATTCCATAGTGGATCTAGTAATATAAGTCTGTTTTAAAGATTTCCAAGATAAGACACCTCCTCCAATAGTAAAGACATAGTCACTTATGGATTTAGAATCCTTCGTATCTGATATCTAATTAGTATCACTGTATCCTTCAAGTACTGCTGGATATCTAGAATAGTGTAATCCATAACTTATGGTATATCTTAAATACGACCCTGATTATTACAGTCCAATGGTTATTTCCTGAATTACTTGTATATTTACTCAATTTATTAACTGAGTATGATATGTCTGGTCCTGTGCAATTCATCAAATACATTAAGCTTCCTATAATGCAAGAATACTCAAGTTGTGATATACTAGGACCAGTATTTTTCGATAAATGAAGATTTACATTAACATGAGTCTTTACAAGACTACTATCTTCTTTATTAAACTTTTCTAATATTTTCTCAATATAGTGAGATTGAGATAATACTAGACTATCTGATGTTTTAGAAATCTTGATTCCTAGTATGACATCAGCTATGCCTAAATCTTTCATATCGAAATTTTTGGTCAACATCTATTTTAAAGTTTTGATTATAATATTATTACTACCCATTATTAACATATCATCCACATATAGGCACACAATGACATATCCATTTTGAGTGTTTTTCATATAAACACATTTATCACACTCATTAATTCTAAAACCATTTGACAACATCACTTTGTCAAATTTTTCATGCCAATTGTTTAGGTGCTTGTTTCAATCCATATAAGGATTTTACAAGCTTGCACACCTTCTTTTCTTTTCCTGGAACTATAAAACATTCAGGTTGTTCCATATAAATTTCCTGCTCTAATTCACCATTCAAAAATGCAGTCATAACATCCATTTGATGTAAATTTTGTAATGCTGTAATTGATGAGCGCTGAAAAGTGCGTATTTAAACCCCTTAAGCTTAGGCATTCTAGTACCTTTATCTATCTTATTTTACCGTTTTAGATTGATTTCGTATTATTTCCATTTTCAGGCACTTATCCCAAAAATAAGCCAACTCAGCCAAATAAGAGCAAAAAGGGAGTAACTCTGGGATTAAACAAATAAAGGAGCAAAGTGGAGAAAGAAGGAAGCAAATGAAGCCAAAGGTGAGAAGCAGCAAAGTTCAATCGATCCAAGTTCAAGGTTCGATCGATCGAACAATGATTGATCTCAACACTTCAAGATAGATCCAAGCCTTGGCCCAAAAGCATAAAGTCCAAAAGTTCGATCGATCCAACACCACCCTTCGATCGATCGAACACTTTTGTCCTTATTCAAATAATTGATCCTATCCACAGCTGTACCACCCACTAACCACTTTTGTCCTTTTCCCAAAAATATCTCCCAAAATATCTTGGATTTATCTTTTCCCAAAAAGCTCAACTAGTTGGATCAATCTAGCCTAAGTTCGATGGATCTCACCAGTTCGATCAATCGAACTTTCTCCAGTGCGAAAAAGTTAAATTTCCATCTCATTGAAAGTTGTCCTTTATCCAATCATTAGGGAATATTGTGTGCACGACCCCAGCTCATTTTGGGTGTCTTTTGACCTACCTATATAAGGATAAGGATTGTTTTTTACAAGAGAGAGCCAATATCATTTTCATATCATCAATTAGAGAGGAATTATAGAGGAAGAGGCTAGAGACACCATTGGAGGTTCTTTATCAACAAGGAGCAGATTTCAACCATAGAGTTAGCCCTTGAGGGTTGGAGCAACATCACCATAAGTGGCTAAACATCCTTTTGGGGCTAGAGTTAGCCCCAAACATGCTTTTTATATCTTAATCTTGTGTATTATTAAGGGATTAGTGTTGTAATTAATGTTTTGACAATTTGATATATATAAATCTTGTTTATTCAATGATTTATGTGGTTTAATGCTTCCAATTGATCATTTCATTCTATCCATATGTCTATGTATGCTAGAATAGATGTTCATGTGTTTGTCTCTAGATTTTATGTTATTGATGCATGTCTATGTGTATTGATGCTATAGATTTGGAGATTATCAAGATATAATGCTTAAAAGAATGCTTTTGTGATTCTCTTGATGGTTCATACTTATTCCTTGATGGATTGTGCCTCTCCCCTAGTTTATTTTCATGCTAGTAGTGTAGATGTAGTGTAGTTGTAGTGTAGTGTTAAATGGGAGGACCATCTATGCTTGTTGTTTGATGATCTAAGCTTTTAAATGCAAGTAGTATATGTCTCTAACCTTGTGTTGTATTTGGATTGTGAGCTTAATGAAAGGATTAATGACTTGTTTTGATCTATTGTGCCTTTCACATGTTGTTTAGATAATATATGCTTCATTGCTTAGATATATTGTGCCTTTCACAAGATGTTTAGACAATACATGCTTAACTAGTCATCCTTGCTTGTTGAATCAACCAAACACACACACACACCAATATTGCAACACACCATTTGCCCTCATTAATCACTTGTCAACGGTATAGAAATGCATTGCTTGGTGTTGATCTCTAAACCCCAAGATCTCTCTCTCTTACTTACTCTTAATTGCATTCTTTTGTTATCACTTAGTTTAATTTAGTTGCCCTCTAATCAACCAACCAACCAATTGTTTGATCACTTGACCTACTAGCCCTAATAGTGATTCCATGACATTGTTCAATCCTCGCAATCCCTTGGGATGATCCCTACTCACCCTAGCTATATTTACAGTAAAAGGTAGTAGTGGCTTCTATAAATGTAAAACTCTTGGCCCTCGCCTTAAAATCCACACACTCTCTCAAGCTTGACGGTGGTGAGGCAAACACCGGCCAGTTTTTGGCGCCGTTGCCGTGGATTGATTGATTTGATTAGGCAACGTCGGATTTGTGGAATTCATTAGGAATTAGTACTCTTTTGATCGTGCCGTTACTTTATTTTTATTTTTCTTTTTGGTTACTTATTGTGTTGTTCTTACTTAACTAGGTGTATTGTTGGAGAGGAAGCAAACAAAGGAGCATTCAAGCAAGCAAAGAAAGTAAAAAGCTAAAAATTTAAAATTTTTTGCTAAGCTAAGCTTTAAATTTGGAGTTGAAGTGTTAAAGGACCTTTGTGAGCTTTTTCTTACTCAATCCCTTAGTTAAATTGTCGGCCTGCGTGGAGGCTTGTTTTTAATTTCTTAGATAAATCGTGAGCCCACGTGGAGGCATTTTTCTTGTCATTGCATCATTGTTGTTATAGCATGGGAGTATGAATTAAGTGTTTGTGGAAGAAGTCTAATTGCATTGTTGTGAAGGCATAGTGTTTGTCATTCTTTGTGCTTGTTGTGTTGCATTGTGCATGCATAGACGTCGTTCATTGAGACCCACTCTTGTCCCTTTAGATTTGCATCTTGAATCCATCGTTAGAAATCCTAGGGGAAGAGGAAGTTCAAATAGAACCAATCTATCAATGGATGACCATAATGATGATCACGTTGAGGACCTTGGTCACATAGACCAACAAGGTATCCTTCATCCTAATATGCACAATGTGAACATACAAGTACCATTAGGTATGCCTAGGCCATACATTCACCAACCACCACAACAACAACAAGGCCAAGTTCCCTATGGAATGCCAAGGCCAATGTATGCTCCACAAGCTCCCATCATTAATCAAGGAATTCAAAACCAAGGTGTTCATGTTGCACCTCAAGTAGCTAATCCACCTCTTGCTTTAAGAGACCATTATGTGCCTAATGAGTATAATGCACCTACATGCATCCAATTGCCTCCATTTAGAGCACATCATTATGAAATCAAAGCACAAACCATTCAAATGCTTCCTAACTTTCATAGACTTCCTAGTAAAGAACCTTACAAGTATTTGGATGAGTTTCTTGAGTTTGTTCCACCGTAAAATATACGGACATGTCGGAAGAGGTCTTAAGACTCAAACTTTTTCCATTCACCTTAAAAGACAAGGCAAAGTATTGGTTTAACAATCTTAGGCCTTTTTCAATCACTTCTTGGGCAGAAATGCAACAAGAATTCTTGAAGAAGTACTATCCGGTTTCTAAGACCAATGCCATGAGAACCTTAATTCGAGAATTTTCACATGGGGATGGAGAAACGTTTCATAAGGCATGGGAATGCTTTAATGAATTGTTTAGGAAGTGTCCACACCATGACATGCCCAAATGGCAATTATTTCAATATTTCTTTGAGAGCCTATCGGACAACTATAAGGGTACGGTTGATGCTTCCATGGGTGGCTCATACATTGATAGGCATGAGGATGATGTATGGCGTCTCTATAAAAGCATGAGTGAGAATTCATTACATAGAACATTGTTGTTGACCTTAAGGATTTCATCCGATGACGATCTAAATGTTTTGATGATAACAAACCATTAATGGTGTTTAAGGACTAATGTTCACATTGAGTGTTATAGATGATTTACATTCAAAGAAGAATCTCAATGAAGCTATAGAGATCATTCCAAGTATTCCATTATTCAAGATCACATCAAGGAAAACAATGGATACAAAGAAGACTTGAAGTTGCAAGAAGCCAAATACAAAGTCTATCCAAAGATAGTTTGGACTACAACGAGGAAGAAAGCAACTCAAAGAAAGGATGAAAGCAAGGATACCTCAAAGCCTAAAGATCATGGACAAAGTTTCAAGAAAGGGGTAGATAGAATGGTGAGTGTTTAAGATTCAATGTCAAAGTATTTATGAATCCATTTGAAGCTCATCTCTATAGGACTATGCATGTCATCATTCATAAGTTCCTATGACCATTAGCAATAGACTATGCACTTCATTCATATATATAATAGACACATGAAGTCATTGCTAAAGAATGAGTTAGTTCAAGCTTGCTTAAGCTGTGAAAGAACTCATTACTTGTGCTAGAAATGTTAAGACCATGCATATCAATTACATGATTCACTTTAGTCTCTAGAAAGTAAATGCTAAGGCTTAGAACATATTTGCTCATCTATAAAGCCTTCGTTACAATGACTTGGTAACGGACTTTAGGACCCAATATCTGCCTGATGAAAAACTGTCTTTTTGGCTAAGTATGAAAAATAGCTAAGTGTGAAAAATGAAATTTTGAAATAATGATTATTTCAAAATAATTTTTCTCGGTAATAACTCTTTATACTTCAAATAGCCTAAACTGATTTTATGGGATTTTTTCATCCATTCTACGATGGTCTACATATGGATTCATTTTTACCAAAACTATCAAAAATCCAAATTTGTACTAAAACTAAATTTCTACATTTTGATTTAGTTGGATTTCAATTTTCTAGTATTTTTTATTGAATCTAAATGGGGGGTACTTCCTTATTTACATTGTAAACTTAAAGTAAATGGACATAAAAATACATTTACTTAAATGTTTTCAATGAAAATAAGGTGTATGCAGAAGTCCTGTAGAAAAAATGTCCAGTTGAACTATCTGACACACTGTCCCTAAAATCTGATGACCATATAACCGGTTAGGAAGTTTCATCTAACCGTTTAGATAAGCTAAACAGAAAGCAACATGGTCGAAGCCACCTTATAACCGATTAGGAAGTTTCATCTAACCGTTTAGATGAAACAAAACAGAAAGCTTGATCTTCTTATCCGCACCTTGTAACCGGTTAGAAGAATTGTTCTAACCGTTTAGATCAACATACAAAACATTGTATCTACCTTCTCGTAACCGGTTAGGAGAACTCAAGTAACCGTTTACATGTACTTAAACAGAATACGATTTTTTCTTAGCTAATGATGTAACCGGTTAGAAGAAGCTATATAACCGGTTAGATGTGCTTTAACAGAATGAAACTTTTCTTAGCCATTGATGTAACTGGTTAGGATGAAACTTGTAACCGTTTAGTTGAACTAAGCCAGAATAATGTCTTCAATCATTTGCATTCAAGTAACCGGTTAGACAACAACTTGTAACCGGTTAGATGAGATCTAGATTTCATCTACTCGAGTAGTTTAAGCCTTGTAACCGGTTAGATGAATGGGCAGAAGCTTCCCAACGGCTATTTCAACCATCTGACTTCCTGGGAACTTACCATAATGCCCCCAAATGGCTATATTCTTCCAAGGGCCTATAAATACACAATGTAAGGACATTGTGGGCATGCAAGGGAGCCAACACTTGAGAGACCTCATTAAGCATCAAAGAGAGCTTTTGTTCTCATTTTTTCTTTCCATCTCTCTCATTCATTCATATACTATACTTGAGAGATTCAACTAAGGATTCGAAGAGCTTTTGCTCTATTCTATACTTGAGAGATCCTATTGAGTTCATAAGAGCTTTTATTCTTCACATATTTCATCTTCTCTCATTCATATCATACATAGAGTTTGAGCTTCATTGATATTCATATATATTCTAGTTGAGAGCTAAATTTGTATATATATCTTGAGAGAGATTCAATCTTGTATTTCAACTGCAAACTTTTCTACAAACTTGTAAGGGGTGGTGTGACCCAAAAGAAGCTTAGGAGATGGGTGTTCTCCTAGTAAGAAAGAGAAGCAAAGAGTTACTTCATGTAAAGGTTTGCTTTCCACCCGTAAGGAGAAGCCATAGTGGATTGGGAAGTCTCAAGAGGGGTCTTGAGCCGAGGAGTAGGAGTTTTCGAACCTCGCTAAAATCGCCGAGTCATTATTTGCAATTTCTTTTCCCTTATCTCTTTTACAATTGTGCTATTAATTGTTTACTTTCATATCTTGAATATTGCATAATTGCTTAAGTGGTTGATTAGAAATTGTAAATCTATAAATTGCGAAAATTGGCCATTGACTCTATTCGCCCTCCCTCTAGAGTCAATCATTGGGCAACAATTG